TCAACTCAGCAATGGGGCCCCAAGAGGGTTCTTCTTCCTGAGCTGGACCCAAGGCTGTCTCCACACCCTACAGGAAAACTGGATGACCTTGAAAAGCTTTGTGGAAAAGGCAACGCAAATGACCAAGGCATGGATCCCATATGTGTTCCAGCTGGGGGTGAGCACACCCCACCTTTGGTCTGTCCTGGGAATCAAGAGCATGGTGTGGTGCTATGGCAAGCTGAGAGACATGATCCATCTGGGTGGCCTTGACCCCTCACTTTGTTGATTGTGGGATCTGCCCTGGTGCTGTTCTCATTGCCTTCTGACCACTGATGGTTGTTCAGCCTTTCTGTCTTTTCTCCTTCCATCCTTTCCTGCCTCATGCCATAATCTAGCCTTAAAAGAATGGTGGGGAAGGGCCTCCTTCAGATGCTCCGGTGTCCAGCCCTCAGGAACAGCCGTTTCCCTTAGTTTGTTGGAGGAAGCAAATACTGAAACACCTACATTTCTTCAAGCCATTTTGTTGTCATCAAAAGATTTGCCCCCACCCAAGTGGGTCCTGTTAGAAATGCAACTTAGAATGTACTACACAGGTTTAGAAAGAGCTAGATGTCAGGGCTGGGCAACATCCGAGCCTGTTCAGCAGCAGGTGTTGGAATACAGCTCCTACTCTGCCTGACTACTGAGGTCATCGAGGAGCTTCCAGGCAGGATTTCCAGGGTCCTACCTTGGGCCAGGGATGTCAAAGCCTCTCAGGGTGGCCTGGTGAGAGGCCAGAGCATCAGTGGACAATGGACTGCCAGCCCCTCAGTTGTTACCTGCCTTAGTTTCTTTTCCTGTTGCTGTGATAAACTATCTACACAAAAGCAACCTAAAAGAGAAAGGGTTTATTTAGCTCACAATTCCAGGTTATAGCCACTCATACCTGGGAAGTCACAACAGCAGGAGCCTGAGGGAGCTGTGACATTGTGTCTGTAGTCAGGCAGAGAGCACGGAATACTTGCTTATGCTCATCTCATCTCTATTTCATGCAGTCCAGGATCCTGGCCAGGCAATGGCCCCCACCCACAGTGGATAGGTCTCCCCGCCTCAATTAAAGCAATCAAGACAATCCCCATCAGACACATCCAGAGGCCCATCTCATAGACGATTCAACATTCTGTCAAAGTGACAGTTAACACTCACCATCACATCACCATACACATCAACTCCTGTCTTTCACAGTTTTCCCTTCCATATTTGTCCAAAAATAGGGCATCTGCCCTAGGCCTTGTCCTGTCCCTCTCTGGGGTTGGTTTATACCAAGGTCTCCCAAACCCCTGGCATACTGAGACCCTTCTATTCTCTGGGTGGCGTCCCCTGAGACACACTAACAAAAGGCTGTGTCCCTGCAGTCCTCTGTGAGTGGGCAGCCAGTCCTGTTGCTGGGATACCAGTATCTTCATCTACATAGCCAGCACTGGACATTCATTGTTAGGGGCTAGTGCTTAGTGGTATGCCTCCCCACCCCAATCCTCAAGGCTAGGATAGAAAATCCAGGGCAGCTGGGTGTGGTGGCAAACACCTTTAATCCCAGCACACAGGAAGCAGAGACAGGCAGATCTCTGTGAGGCCAGCCTGGTCTTCATAGCAAGTTCCAGGCCAGCTGGGGCTACAGGGAGACCCCATCTTAAAAAGAGAGAGAGAGAGAGAGAGAGAGAGAGAGAGAGAGAGAGAGAGAGAGAGAGAGAGAGAGAGAGAGAGAGAGAGAGAGAGAGAGAGAGAGAGAGAGAGAGAGAGAGAGAGAGAGAGAGAGAGAGAGAGAGAGAGAGAGAGAGAGAGAGAGAGGGGAAGGAAGGAAGGAAGGAAGAAAGAAAGAAAGAAAGAAAGAAAGAAAAGAAAAGAAAAGAAAAGAAAAGAAAAAAAGAAAAGAAAATCCAGGGCAACAGTTGCCCTGTGTGAATATGGTGGCACCAAGTATTCAGACAGCCACGTGGTCCCCATCCAGGCCCGGTGTGTTCCCAACACATTTCCCCCCTGAGCTTTAGGCCACTGTGGATGGAGAGTAGTCACCAGGATGCGACTCTCTGTATTGGAAAGGGAGGTGAGGCTGCAGCCTGTGTGGAAACAGCCCCTGGCAGTGCTCATTTTGTAAAGCAACTTGTCTAGGAAGTTATTTGCCCTCTCCTCCCACCCTCTGCCTCTTTTTTAAAAGCTTCCCTTGTCTACCCAAATGCCCTCTTGTTAATGAAAGAAGAAGACAGCTGATGTGAGAGGCCGGACCCACTTTCACTGTAACCCTCTCCTGGGGGCAGATGCCCTTGGCACTGTAACCCCTCTTCTCAGCCTCTGTGAAACTAGAAATGGCTCCAGCCATCCAAGTTCATGACCCCAACCCCTGAACCTCAGCATCTGCTTGGGAGCCCAGGGTGGAAGCCATGGAACCTCAGGACATCAGTGCTTTGATGTGAGAAGTGCTAGCAGCAGGTGTGTCTTTGTGCAATGACTGATCCTGAACAGGACAAGTACCTCTGTGCCAGGGCCACATGGAATCAGGTGATCAATGGCAAGAGATGGAACTGGGGGTGGCTCCAATGAAATGGAGCAGGAGCTGTGCAGTCCTCCTCCTCCTCTGTTGCAGGGCCAGTACTGAGGCTGTCTCTATCCCTCTGCCTCATTATACCGCTGCCTCACTGTTCCTCTCAGACTGTCTCCCATGAATGCTGCTGAGAAAGCTAGTATTTCTCACAAATGGTCAACCACAGCAGCCATGGATGCTCCCTGTGGTGACACGGTAGACAATCAATTGCACAGCAATGGCTTTGCAATATGTAGCTGTTCCCTGGCTTGTGGATATGGAATTGGGAATGGGCAGAAAGTCAGCCATGTCCTAGAGGCTGCACCGGGCTCTGCAGGCAGACAGGCATAGTGCCTAGGACACTAGCATCAGCACACCCATCCTCCAGTGGCCTGGGAACTTGCCACAGTTCTTCTAAGAGTAGCAGGAAAAGGCTGGCCAATCTAGCCCTTGCATGGATAGAGGAGCCATGGCAAAGATTTATCGCAGGAACCATGGCAGAAAGCTGGGGAAGAAGTTGTGGAGAACAACAGAGTGTCTGGAAGCCAGTTCCACAGAATTTCATGATGTCCATGAAGATTTTCCTGTAGCAATGCTGCTCTTTGACTCTAGTGCTCCAGGGAATCGAGGCCTTGGACAGCCTCCTGCTGCAGTCAGAGTCCAGTAAAGGCCACAGGACCATAACCCACAGCCTCCCTGTGCTTACCCACTCTTTTTCCTTCATCTTTAGATTTTATAACTTTTGAAAGCACAGCTCCCAAATCCAGAACTCGGGCTCCCAAGGAAGCACCTGATTCTTTGACATTACTGACACTCTATTTGGCTTTGAAAATGCCCAGTGTTTGTCAATGCTCCCAGCTCCTGAGCCCTTCTCTTTCCACCTGTGGGCAGAGCTACTCCATAAAGCCCAGCTTTTGCATATCACATACAGACATTCCATGTCTGCCCCAAGTGGCTCTACACTGTGTATCTGCCCGGTGCCCCTCAGGGTACTCTACATTGGTCTGTCCAGCACTGGGGTCCAAGGCTCAGTGCCACTCTGGCACACTAGCAGCAACAGCAGCACAAGTGAGATTTGTTTACATAGACACCAAGGCCAGGGGGCAATGAGCTACAAAGGCTCAGACAGGAGTTGCTAGTCCCTCCCCTTTGGGGGCAAGTGAGCTGACTGTGTGGTGCTCAGAATAGGCTCAGACACATGGTCCTTTAGGCCTTACTCTGCCTGGTCCCTGGTGACTGACAATGAGGACAGAGGAGGTGAGGTGGCTAAAGGAGTTACTGGCTGCTGTGGTTTTTGTCAGAGGGAAGTCTTTGAGCTCTCAGGTGCTTTGATTGAGAGATGGACCCAGAAAAGGAGGGAGAGAGTATAGGCTACAAGGCATAAAGAACAGACATGTCTTCATGCAGCCCCTGCTGCCTATGAGGTGCCGAGCCTCCATTGTTGCATATGCTAAACAAGGGTTAAGTTTCACTCCCAGAATTCAGTAATATTAAAAAACAAGGCACATAGCACCAACCCCCTCAAACCCCTCTCCGTGCCACGAGCAGTCCATGTGCCATTAAAGGACCAGACTGTGTGCCGAGCCCCCTCCATGCCTCCTAAGAACCCCCTCACCTCCTAAGAACTCACCTCTTGCCAGCTCCCATGGTTCTCATTTCAGCATTTCACAGCTCACTTTTGAAATAGCATCTTTCACCTCAAGTGTCTACACATTCACAGAAATGAAAGCAGCCTCTCTTGGAAGGCAGACTTGTGAGGTCAGATCCAAACTCCAGGAAGGGGGATGGGTTGGGCCGAGACCCAGGTTAGGTTCATGTTTACTGAATACATATAAAGCACCTGCTGTGTGTCCAACTTTTTTACACAGGGTGTTGTTAACCTTCCCATGGTTCTCTTGGGGAATTGACAGGTTCCCCATTAACAGCTGTGTCTACAGAGGCTCAGCATTGTGGTCACAGTCTATGTTCCTGGCCCACAGAATGGGAATCAGATGTGGGACACTGTTCCTCTAGTTCAGGCTGATGATGATTTCTTTCTGCTGTGGTAGAACACAAGATACCAGTGATTCTTTCAGATCCAAGCTGTCTTGCTCCCGCACTCATTCACAGTCAATGCAATGATTCTACCCCTCCTGTATCGTTTTGGTGCCTTGAGGAAGGGCCATGTCCAAGGGTGTAGCTTCATCAGTGGCTCTCACAACTAATTCACAATTACATCTGACATGTGATTGTATCTACGTAGAATCCACAGCAGGTGGAAAACAGACCTGACAGTCCTGCCAGCAGGCTGCCCAGGGCCAGGCCATGGACTGAGCTGGTGAAGTGCAGAGCTGCATCCTGGGTTCTGAGTATCAACGCACAACGCTCAATTTGGGTGTGGCCTCCTCGCCTGCTTGCTGTGCGCTGTCCCTCCAGATTGGATGGCTCACAGTCTTGACTCCTGTTTTGCCTTCCTGCCCAGGTCCTTGCTGCTAAAGTGCTCAATCTTGTCCTGCCAAACATGTCCCTGGGGCCCATCGACTCCAGCGTGCTCTCTCGGAATAAATCAGAGGTGAGTCTTTGGGCAGAACTAGTAGTGCTCAGAAGTGAGCAGGTGAATGCAGCAGCCCCAGGGGACCTGAGTTTGGCCCTGTCTTTGTCACTCTGCTGCCCTTTCATAGAGAGATGGCATGACAGAGGCATAAGGGAATGGGAGGTTTTGTCCTTAGCTTAGAGGTTAACCAGAAAGGTTGAGAGTCTGAGCTCCACTTCGGGCAACCTGAGAGCTCGTCAGAGAATGTGCTCGATGGAGAAGTCGGGTCTCTTTGGTTGCAAGTAACAGAAACCCAAGTCAAAAGGGTGTATGGGACTGAAGAGATGGTTCAGAGTGCTTTCTGCTCTCACAAAGGACCTGCGTTCAGTTCCCAGCACCCACCTTGGGAGGCTCACAACCACCTGTAACTCCAACTCCAGGGAATCTAGCACCTTCTTTTAGCCTCCACGGGCATATATATACACATGCACATTCACACACACACGAACATGCACACACACACACACACACACACACCCCAAAATTTTTTTTTATTTATAAAAAGAAATATAAAAGAGGGAATTTATTGGTAACTAGAACTAAAGGCTTCAGGGCACAGCTAGATCAGGGGTTCAAATTCTGGGTCAGAACCTGTCCTTGCTGTCTCTCCCCAACTCTCAGCACCCCTGCTTGACTTTATTCCCAGTTAGGCTTTTCTCAAGTAAAAACAAAGAAGTCATGAGCCTCATTATCTGCATAACTTAAGTGTGCAAAGACACCACCTCTCCTGCAGAAGTCCTAGGCCGACTCTGGTTGGCTGATGTATAGGCCAGGGATCTGTCCAGGAAATGGGTGGAGCTAGCCCTACCCAGAGACTAGACTGAGAAAGAGTAAGGTGGGTGCCTAGATAGTGGTACCAAGAAGGACAGACCCATATTACAGGTGTGTGAACAGACCATCCCAAGAACCTGCTGGAGTGGACAGGTTGCACATTTGAGGCAGTGTCCCTGGGCATGTGGATATAGCAGAATTACCCTTACAACTAAGCAAATCGATTTGCTGTCTTCTGCCTCAGTTTCCCTTCTTGCCTTGAGAGCTTGAAACCAATGACTCACAGGCTCCTTAAGGCCCTGGGACCCCCCAGTGGGGACTCTGACATTCCAGTGGCCTGGTCTGCTTCTCTAGGCAGAGAGATTCTGACTTCCTAGTGAGGTTTCACCCAGGGGGCACATCTGGGGAAATGCCCCTATCACACAAGATGGAGGCTTGCTGGGTAAAGAGTGCCTGTGAGGCTAGTGTGTAGGAGCCAGGCAAGAGGCTAGGGTATAGCTCTGTGATGGAAAGCCTAGCTCACAGGAAGCCCTGGATTCCATTCCTAGCATGATAAGAAAAACCAAAATGCAGGCTTTGGGAGGGGGAAATGTGGAAGGCCTGAGGACATTAGATCCAGGGAGCCTCCCATCCTGGCTTAAAATTTTAATAACAGTTTTGTTCTGAAACTCATAATTCCTCCCAAACCCACATGCTGGGGCCATATTTAGCTTACCAGGGGCTGTCTTGTGTGGCCCTAGTCTTTCTGAATGACTAAACCTCAACCTCACTGCCCAGGTGAGGAGAATGAGGCTCAGAAAGGGTGAGTAACTGCCCAGTGTTGCACAGCCTGTCAGGGGCAGAACTGGGCTGTTAGCCAACTTGGGTAGGCGCCTCTTTGCAGCTGCTGTATCAGGGATTAAAACATCTTGCGCTTGCTGTGCTGGGTCATACAGCCCATGTCAGGGGGCCTTTGCTCTGTGGACAGTGTCTACTTTGGGAGAGGAGTTCTATGGAAGACAGAGACTCCTTCACTTGCCCGCATCCAGGTTATCTCTCTTCCCACCAAAAAAGGGAAGAGGAAGAAACAGGAAATAAATTATTCTAAACCCCTCTGTTAAAAACAGCAAATTAATACAGGGCATGGTGGCAGAGGCAGCCAGATCACTGTGAGATCGAGGCCATCCTGGTCTACATAGTGAGTTCCAGAGAGATTAGCTGGTCATGGTGGCACATGCCTTTAATCCTAGCTCTTGTGAGGCAGAGGCAAACAGATCTCTGAGATCAAGTCCAGCCTGGTCTTCAGAGCAAATTCTAGGCCAACTGGGCAGCTGGGGCTACAGGGAGACCCCACCTCAAAAAATAAAAAGAGCCAGTAAATAATAAGGGGACTTCCTTCTTCAAAGATCTTATGGAGAGTTGGGAGGTGCTATGAATGGCAGCTCCCAGGTTCTGGGGCTACACTCCTCTGCTGCCACTGTGTCCTCCTCATCACCCACCAGTCAGATAATACAGGTCATTTAGAGATACTGAGATGTCTGCATAAGAGGGACACAGGACCAGAGGTGCTGGGCAGCTGAAGACTCCAGTGGTCAGGGGGATGCTAGAGCCACAAACATTCCTCTGCAGATCTGCCTTCTCCCCATCCCCTGCTGCCCCTGGACTCTGCCTTTGAACCTGTGCTGAGCATTAAAAATAGCTGTTCTGCTGAGAGAAATGTGCTCAGAAGAGGTGCTGCCCAGCAGTGCACAGCAGGAATCTCCAGGCTCATCTTTAGCTGACACATTTCCCATGGAACCCTGCAGCTATAAAAGCCTCAAAACACCAAGCAACGATGACGTTTCCCTAATGAGCTGGCCAATGCAGGACTGTGGCGGCCTCTGCAGCCAGAGTGGGAGGGTGTAACCAACTGCTAGAAGGCCAGGAGGTGGGGCCTAGGGAAGCAGAGGCTCCCTGCTGGATGACAACAGGGAGATGTTTGCTTAGGTTTGCCTTGGCACAGCCCTCTCAAAAGCAGCTTTATTGTCTTCACACCATCCAGACACCATAGCCCTTCTGGTCTCAGGGTAACCTATAAGTCAGTCTTTACTATAGGCATTTGAAGTTGTGGAAGCTTGAGCCCAGAGAGGGCAAGTCACTCACCCAACAACACACAGCCAGTTAGTGAAGATTTGAGCCCAGGTTCATCTCTGGCTCTAACACACTGGGAACAAAGACATGGTTATCTGTGCAGACAAACACAGCTCTCACCTCAGAGGGAACAAGAAATGGTTTATTCTGGGGCCAATTATGAGTGGTCATGAGCCAGAAACACAGATTCAGGTTATTCCAAATCCCATGTTCCAATATGGTAGCAGTGTCATGAAAAAAAAAAAAAAAAAAAAAAAAAAAAAAAAAAAAAAAAAAAAAAAAGTAACAGAACAAAGAAAGTTACAAATCAAGAGACTTCAGATCCATTGTTGGAAACCTCAGGTAAGCAGGTTACAGCAAACCGGGGAAACCTCTGCTATAGGTCTTGAATGCTGGGGACACTCTTAGCCTTTGGATTGGTGGGAGCTAGTGGTCTGTTTATACATTCCAAAAAGATTTGCCTAATAGTCATAATATGCATGTTAGGTCACACACAAAAGTAGATAATGCATTTGAGGGCTAAGATGGCCCAAGGTAATTTGGCTCTGGACCTGCAACATCCCAGCTTTCCACAAGCACTGAAGTTTTAATTAGTCAACCACCCTTGTAGGACATTTAACATAGGCTCTTTTCTGGGAACTTCACTGAACAGGGTCCTTGATGAGAACACATATTCATTCTACCCCCAGCAGCAGGGTTTTCAAAACACTGAGTAGATAGACCCCCCTCCCATCTGAGAGCTGCCAGTGAGTTTGGGAGAGTTCTCTGATCAAGGACACAGGAGGTAGCTGACTGTCTTCTCAGGCCCAGTGACTTACAAGCAGATACACTGTGCACCCAGAGCCCCCAGCTGGCCTCTCGTTGGCCTTTGCACAGGGGAGAAGCAAGAGAGACCCACCTGGTGCCAAACACACCCTTCATTGGAACCTGGGACCGTGGGCATGTCCCCACCCCTATTTGCAGGTGGTTGTGGTTCAGTTTTCTGGAAAAATCTCTGCTCTATATAACTACCCAAGTTGGTTCTCACACAGAAAGGTGCCACCACCAGGGAGCCAGAAGGAATGACCAGCTTAGCTTCTAGTAGATTCTGTGGTGAGTGTGTGTCATCAGTGTCCAGTGTCAGAGTTTAGGGCCCCCTTCCTGTTCCTGCCTGTCCCCAGCAACCATTCCCCACCTCCACCCAGTGGCTGGGTTTAGGCCTCTCTCCACCCCAACACACGACCATGTGACTACACAGCCCAGTGTTGGGAAGCTTGGCCACATAGAGGCCTTTCATTATCTGCAGCAAAAGACAAGCCTGGCCACTCTCTGTACCCAGGACATCACCTGCCATGGAGTCCCCTCCAAACCAAAGCTGTGAGCTTTCTGAAAAACTTGGTTTTCCCAGCTGCCGCCATTGTGCATTTTCCGTCTGTCTGGGTATTATATTGCCCACAGGATGCCTATGGATCTGAGGCAGCAAAAGTTGACCTAGGCCCTAAAAAGACCTCTCCAAGCCTCGATCTCCCCATAAAGCAGTAGCAGTAGTGCCTATATCGTGCCCTGCTGTGAAGGTGAAGCAAGAACAAAAGTACTGAACACAGTGCCCAGCACCAAGGTGAACACTCTGTGTGTTAGTTCAACCTTACTGACTGAAGGTGCCATTGCAGTTTATCATGGAACAGTTTTGTGAAAAACAGGTCGAGATCTCACTGCAGGGGCCATGTCTGGGTTGTGCTAAAGACTGAGGCTTTGTGTGGTTCTGAATGTGAGTGTGAAGTTTCTTGCCAAGGAGGCCCAGCAGGCAGCCCCTAACTGGTGGGTTAAACCTCACTGTGCCTCAAGGTTGGAACTAGGAAAGACACCAAGACTCAGAGCAAGGCAGGGGCATGTTCCTAGTCTGTGTAACTAAACTGAAAGGGAATTATAGAGCCCTCCCCTGCTGGAAAAATAAATCGTGGAGGCCCCCTACTGAGGAAATAGAGGCACAGACAAGGTCAGGGCTTTCTCTCAGCCCTGAAAAAGACATGCAGCCTCGGCCAGTGGCAACTCCCCAAATGCCACCCATCTGGAGCCAAGACATGATACTTATACACAGGTCCATGGCTGGGCTTCTGTTTTCTGGACCAGGCCCCTGGCCTCTGTGCTCAGCTCTCATCTGATGGGACAGCCTGGTTCAAATAAAGTGGAGGGTTGGGGCAGGAGAGTCAAGAGGCAAGCCTAAGATATGTTGTTACCTGTCTTTAAATTCTTGTCTTGAGGGACAGGGGAAATGGCTCAACAGTTAAGAGCACTTGATGTGCAAGCATGAGAGACCTGAGTTCAAATTCTCTCACATCCATATAAAGAGCCAGGGTGTGGTTGCATACCCATCTGTAACCCCAGCACTATGGGGTGTGGAGACAGGAGCATCATTGGGGCTGGCTGGTCACCAGTTCTACCTCCAGGGTCAATGAAGAAATCCTGCCTCAAGGGAATAAGGCAGAAAGTGATTGAACGGGACACCCAGCTTCCTCTTCCTCCTCTTCCTCCTCTCTCTCTCTCTCTCTCTCTCTCTCTCTCTCTCTCTCTCAGCTATTTTCTTGAGATCACTGTGAGTCATATGCAACTGTAAGAGATAATACAAAGATCTCACATACCCATCACTCTGCTTCTCCCAACAGGAGGATACCCAAGCCAGGTGTTGACCCTGTATAACCACAGTCACTTCCCACCCATGCTCACCCCATCCTTAGCCCTGTTAACTATGAACATCAAATTACAAGAGAGTGAGAGGTGGGCTAGCCAAGTGCAGCTTTTACCTAGCCATGCCTGAGACCTGGCTTCCACCCCTACAGCCACAAAGAAGAAAGGCCAGACTAGGCCAGAATTGCTACTTGAGGAAGGATTTGGGCCTCCCTCAGTTTCCCCACAGTACAGCCCTCCCAGTCCTTCTTTGCATAGTTTACCACTGCCCTGGTCCCTCTTTGTATAGTCTACCTTTGCACCTCCCTCCCTCCTGTCCTGGCTGTGGTTCTATCCCTGGCTATCCTTTCCTTTCCCTAGAAAAGGCTATTATGTACCCAGGGTCTGTGTGACCAGGACATTGTAACAAAGAACAGGAAGTGACTGGGGTCATGGAGCAATTACACTCAGGAGCAGACCCCTCAGAGACCTGACCTGCTAAGATGCTCTGAGGAAGCAGGGTAAAGCCTCTGGAAGGATACGGACAGGAGACAGAGGACAGCAGGTGAACTGGAGCCCACATGGCCATCATCCCCTGAGCCTGGAGGAGACCAATCTAGATGCAACATGAATGTTATCTAGGAGCAGCAGAGCCTCAGAGAAGAAGGCTCCCTCCTCTGCCCCATGCCTTCCCAGAATCAGGACACCCATCCTGTTTTGGATACATCCAGAGATGACCCATGCCTCAGTGGTTCCCTAGAGAGTAAAGCAGTTCTTTTTGGTAATTTTTTTTATGTGTATGAGTGTTATGGCTACATGTATATAAGTGTATCTGTATCATTCAATGCCCACAGAGGTCAGAAGAGGGCGTTGCATCCCCTGGAACTGGAGTTACAGATGGTTGTTAGCTGCCATGTGGATGCTGGAATTCAAATCTGGGTCTTCTGCAAGAGCAGCCAGTGCTCTTAGCTGCTGAGCCATCTCTCCAGCCTGCTAGCCAGTTCTTTTACTTGCCTCTTATTGGCCAGGATGTGGTCATATGACCACATCTAGCTACAAGAGCAGCTGAGATGTATATTCTACCTGGGAAGTTATGCACCCTGTCCAATACCAAGGGCTCCCCAGTGGAGAACAGGAGTTGGGATATTAATAGCAATGGGCCGTGCCCACAGTTTCTTTACCTGTGTCACATGGATAATAAGAGCCAGGCCTATTGGGGGCTGCTGTACCTGTGACTCAGACATCAGCTGCTGTTTCTGCTTTACAGTGGGGTCCCCAATAGTGCTACCCGGCACCAAGCTGGACCCAGGGTGTACTTGTGATAGGTGGCACAGCCATTGTAGTCACTCTCACTGTTGCTACCAGAACTTGGCTAACACCAAGGTTGTTCTGGAGGCCCCACAGCTCTCTTCCAAGCAAGGCTCCTGCAGACTCTGAAGGAGATCCATGGTGGCCTAGGCCCATGGCCAGATCTCCCCACACCACCCCTGCACTGCCCTGCCAGTCTTGATTCCTCTCTTGGACTGCAGAACAGATGGCCTGGCCCTGTGGGGTTTGCACCAGCTCAGCTGCAGGAAGTGGCTAATCCGTCTAGTGCAGCTCATCACAAATGGCCAGCTTGATGAGGCTCAGTCCTGCCTAGCATGGGAAGGAATCCAGGATGGCAGGGTAACTGCAGGACAAACTGTCCCCACTAGCATGGATATGGAACTCTGGCCAGGCTTTTGGAGGGGTGGCAGGAGAAGGGGGTGAGCCTAAGTCAGAGACCATGGACCCCACAGCCTCCAGTCCAGAAACCCTCAGTGTCTCTCACCCTAACCCACCATATGACTGTCCCCAACCTGCTCAGAGCCTATCTAATAGAGAAGTAAGCAAACAGTGTTACAGTTTCACACCTACCCTAGAAGCTTTTCATCTAGACTGTGAGGCAGAAATCCCTTCTCAGGCTGCAGATTGGGGCAGTGCTCCCCCGGACCAAGGAGGTCAAGGGCAGAGTGACTCTGACCAAGGAGGACGAAGACAGTGGATGGTCAACTCAGAGCTTCTATCATGAGTGTGGACTCTGGGTCTGGCTGGCTGCTGTTAAAGAAGGAGGATTCAGCCTCTGGGTGCATCCTTTGGAGATGCAGAGGTGGCTGTGAGCTGCAGGCCTGGCCTTGGGCCTCCCTCCTTCCAAAGTTGCTGGGGGGCTTCCTCCACTGATGCAGGCTTTCCATACTATACAGGGTTCCTCTGCAACCTACCTAGACAATGTGGAGTTGTGAGTGAGAAGAGAGTGGGGAGACACCAACACCCTCAGTGCTACTCTTCAGTGAAATAATCCAAGCAAATGGCATGACGGTCTTGTATTTTGTTTTTTTATAATTTTTTTTTCACTATGCAACCCAGTCTGGCCTTGAACTTGACTGTCTCCTGCTTTGAAATCCCAAGAGCATGCATGGCAAAGGTGCTGTCTATTTTTTTGAAATCCATTTTAATGCCGGAAATTGTCTGTAGGCTTATATGTAGACAGCCAGCCTTTCATATCCTTGGGCTCTGCATGGGAGGATCCAAGCAGCCATTCCTTATCTGCCCCACACAGTACAGCTCATCAGCCATCTCCATTGTATTGACCATGGTCTAAGCCTGATTGAAGCATTTGGAGGGTGTGTGTACTCTATGTAGACACTACACCATGTTCATGCTACAGAAGGGACCTGCTCACTGCAGACAAGTATCTTTGAGGGTCCTGGACCCACTCCCCCATGTATGCTGAGGCAGGGATCAGTAGGAGGTGTCAAACCTGAGAGCAAAGGTGCTGGGCACAGTTCAGACTCACGTTCTCCAGGAGCTGAACCCACTGTCAACTTCTGCAACCCACCCCAGACCAAGTACTTAAACAGAAAGTATGTAGGACATCCCATTGGGAGCCCAGGTACTAATAGGACCTCCTTCCCTCAGGTCGACCTTTATGACTCGGACCCCCTCATCTGCCGCGCAGGAGTGAAGGTTTGCTTTGGCATCCAGCTGCTGAACGCAGTCTCCCGGGTAGAGCGCGCGATGCCCAGGCTGACGCTGCCCTTCCTGCTGCTGCAGGGCTCGGCTGACCGGCTGTGTGACAGCAAAGGGGCCTACCTGCTCATGGACTCCTCCCAGAGCCAGGACAAGACGCTCAAGGTGAGGAGCAGGAAGCATCACCCTGAGGGTGGGTCTTAGGGATCAGGCCAGCCTGACTGGGAAGTAAAGACAAGGAGCCAGAGGCAAATGTGAGTTCTGATAGCACATGGATCCCCAACCTATCACCTCCCAGAAATGAGCCTCAACAGAGGAAGAGAACCGTCAGATGGCCTGGGCAAGAAAAGGGTGGGCAGCAGGTAAATAAAATTACATAGAGATTGGTTGTGTCTAGGCTGTAGGGACATCTGCAGTACCCAGTGCCCTCTGTACCACCTGCCACAGCTCAGGGTGCACAAGCCTAGGGGCTCAGGACACACAGGAGCTGTTGGGTCAGGGAGTGCAGGTGCTGGAGCACTTAGCTGAGTCTAGTCTGCCGGAGTATCTGGAGGCCCTGCGGACAGGCCACAGCTTGATCATGTGGTATGTTAGACACAAGGAACAGCCGGGGTGTCCCCCAGTGGCTTTCAAGACATTGAACTGGGAAGCATCCCAGATGAGGAGGTGAGCCCCTGCTAGGCACCAGTCAGACACTGTGTGAGCCTGAAACAGGCATACCCACCGTGTGGCCCACATGGTTGGACTCCTCAACTGGGCTGTGTTATCTGTCAGGATTCTGGGCTACATCCTCCCTACGTTATAAAAACAGCAGGTGGCTAGGTGTGGTAGCATATGCCTTTAATCCCAGTGCTCAAGAAGCAGAGGCAAGCAGATCTCTGTGAGTTTGAGGCCAGCTTGGTCTACATAGTGAGTTCCAGGCTAGCCAGGACTACATAGTGAGACCCTGTCCCCCCCCAAAACAAACAAAGTCAGTAGGTGACTCTTCAAACTCCTCACCAAGGAAGTAGTAGAGTCGGAATTTGAGCTGAGATCCTTGCACGTGAGTCCACAGTCACTCTCCAGTCCTCACTGCATTGGCAGAGTCTTATATCTTTGTAAACTGTCAAGGGCTTTCTTGCATCATTTCTGGGAGAGAGAGGCAGAAGAGGCAGGAGGACAGGTAGGTTAATAGGTGCAAATGTGGTTAGGTGGCAGGCTATGTCCTGGTGCTTTGCAGCACAAGAGCTTGCTGCAAGTCGGTAGTTCACTGAATATTTCAAAATAGAAGAGGCATGTTGAAGAAGCGAGTTGTTGGGGTGATAGATACACTGGATAGCTCTAAAAAGCAACGAAGGATGCCTTGGGGTTTGGGCCTGTAACAGTGAGGGGGCTGCAGTGCCCCCCTCTGAGATAGGGGACCCCAGGAGACACTCAGGGAAAACAGTCCTTTCCTTATAAGACTCTGGATAAGAATCCCCTCAGATACCAGAGATGGCTGAGAAATCTTAAGGCTAAGATAAGTGGACAGTCAGCACACCCATACGAGGCTGACTGGAGGAAAGGCCATCAACCACATAGTGGGTGAGTTAGTGATGAATTAGGGTTAGGTTGCTGGGGTTGTAGGAGCCACCAGTGAGGGAGGAAGCCAAACAGGAGAGGTCAGAGCCATGGTGTGTTAGAGGGCCACTGTTCAGCCTCTAGGCACTCCTGGAGCATCAGAGATATTTGAGCATCAAGTATCCCCCAGCATGGCAAATGAGATCCCTGGGGGCCCTGCTGAGGGCAGCTGCTATGGGTTGGGAGAGTGAAGGATTATTGAAAGGTGGGGGGTGAAGATAGAGAGAATTCCTGGCAAGAAGGTTCTGGGTATCTAGGCTGCACTAATAGCTGGAGAGCAGTGTGGGCAGCCAGGAATGCCCAGGCCATTGCAAAGCTGCAAATTGTCTGATCAGAAGGTGCTGGCCTGGCTGGAGCCAAGCAGAGATGACACACACCCGCTGACTCAACTACCCAGGAACCTGAGAGGGAAGGATGGCTTGAGGCTAGGAGTTTAAGGCCAGCCTGGGCACCATGGCAAGATCCCACCTGGAAAAAGAAAGGCAGATGGGGATACTGGGAATGAGTGTCGGGTATGCAGGGGGAACTTGGGAGTGTAACATCATGTGCCTGTCCCTTGCCTAGCCCCACATACTTCTGACGTCCTGTCTCTCCTGATTGCAGATATATGAAGGTGCCTACCATGTTCTCCACAAAGAGCTCCCAGAAGTGACCAACTCTGTCTTCCATGAAATAAACATGTGGGTCTCTCACAGGACAGCAGCAGCAGGAGTCGGGTGCCCACCCTGAATGTACTGGCCAGGAGATCAGCTCGCAGTCTGGGAGAAGCAGGCAGAGGAAGGGCAGCATTAGCTGGCTCAAAAAAAAAAAAAAATCACAAATTGAAGGAAACCCTAGTGCAATTTACTTTAAAAACAACAAAAAAGATAATCTGCCATATAAAAGGCTATTGGCTACTGAATCTACTACTGTAAAGGGGTAGGCACTTTATAAGAGAGACTTTTCTACACAGGGACTGTGCTGAAGTGTCCTTTGAATAAAAGCACAGCCTCTGCCCACCTCTCCCAGCTCCTGCGGAGTTCAGGGACTCCCCTGTGTCCTGTGTCCCAACCTGCAATAATCAGCGGCCTCTTTCCTCCTGCCACAGTGCTCTCTCTTTCACTGGCCATTGTGATGAGGTGGCCTCTGTCCCTAGAGCTAGCTCCACAGCAGGCTCACGTGCCCCTCCCAGGCACTTCCTCAAAATGGGCAAGCCACCCAGTGACTTGGTTGGTGACCTCTCAGCTGAAGCCAGGCTGGGGGAAGGGAGGATGGCCCTGAATAGTGCACAGCAGGGGACCCTGGCTCTTCTCCCAATACCCTTGGCCCCTGCAAGGAATTTGGTAGCCCACAGCATGCTGTTTGTATTCAGAAAGCCACCTCTCCCCACATCACTACTGAGGAGGGAGGCTCTGAGAAGAAGTATCTAATATATACTGTATATTCTAAAGCAGAATCTGTATTGGAACTGGGTGGGGCCAGGGCAGCTTAGGGAGAACTGTTACACAGAGCTGGCCTACCAAGGATCCCAGCCCCTAAGATGGGACTAGCTGGCCTTTCCTGCGGAGAGGGCTCAGTGTTCCTTCTGCTCTTGGAGGGAATGTGGAAAACTGAACTTCGTCCCCAGGCCTGAACTGTCCCTCTGCCCAGAGTCACTAGTTGTTGCTTAGCTACCTCTGGTGGCAGGAGAGACTCCCAAGCAGGCACGGTGCTTGCCGCCTGCCCAGGGAAGCACATAGCACTCAGTGACCACGCACAGGCAGGAACCACAGCTGTCAGCACCCCAACCCAGGCTACAGCAGGATGGCCCAGCCAGGCCTCTCAGAGGGTGCCCTGGCAGCAGCGAGGTCCATCCTCTCAGGTGCCATCCGGAGGCCTGCTTTAGGCCTCCCTTAGCGCCAGCAATAACCAGGTCTCACAGTCTTCTTGGAGCACTTTCATCTTTCCAGTGGGCCTTGCTGTTACCTCAGGAGTCTAGTTAGTGCACATAGGACCCTAGGAAGGGACGTTCCCACCAGGGAGAGCCACTTAGGCCTTGATCCTCTAGGAAGGTACAATCCAGGGCCCCAGGGTCTCAGAGGAGGCTACTGCCAACCCAGGCCCTGTCCTTTCTGGGCTTATTCTGGGTTCTGAGGAGAACCCTCTGCCCTTTCTCCAGTAACCCTGACCGTGGCAGTCAGGAGCTGGCCACTTACTATAGGTCATAAGGTCACTGTACCCTCAGCAGGGGCCAAGCACCCCATGCAGGGCAGGCAGAGCCCAAGAGCTGCCCACCCAGAGTACCCACTTAGTTCTGATTTTCTTTAGAACAGAAAACTGTAAAAACAAAATTTTTAAAGTGCACTAAGAGGGATGGTCAGTGCTCCAGGCTTCCCAGTGAGCCCCAGGCAGTAGCAAACAGATGCTGGGGTGCTTCTGCTCTCCATTAGGAAAAACAGAACCCCACCGAACCCAGAGCTACAACTCTCACCAGGAGCCACCACCCAGGGCCACTCCCAGAAGCACGTGCTGTCAACGCCATCTTCCAAATCGAAGGGCAGCACCTGGACTGGTCTCTTTCATGCACTTCATTTACAGAGACACGTGTCTGGTTAAAAGAGTCACTGACACTAAAAAGAAAAAAATCTGAAATTGGGACTGCCTTGTGAAATCTGAACAGGGCACAGAGACATGAACGTGCCATATCCTTCCATGGCAGAATCAGGGCCAGCGCAGGGCCCTGTCAGTGGACAGCTGGGCCAGCCTCATGGAGGCCATCTGTAGGTAATCAGGCTGGGCTTCAAAGTCACATTATCACAGGAGTGCAGAGGAATGGAGGTAGAAAGGATTCTAGAACGCACAAGGCTCGGCCTGGAGATGGAGAGATAAAGGTGGGAGCCAGAGGAGGCTCCAGAGAGCAATGGGGGATGGGGACCCCAAGCCCAGTATGACTACAGTACCTTCTCTAGCAACTTAAAGGTGATGGGTTCCTGTGGGATGGGTTGCCTGAAAGCTTTTTTAGGAAAGGGCGCCACCTGCAGGCAGTGAGGTTCTCAACCACTAAACCCCAGTTCCTCCACCACGCCGCCCCCTCCTCAGCTTCTGGGTGAACTGGAGACCACCACAGGAACAGTGAGGATGCTCTGGTACCACAGGGCTCTGCTCACATCCTGCCTACGGGCTTACACCCTGCTTTCTCTCCTGATGGCTGACATAACCTAATTCCCAGTGCCACTGTGTTCAGTCACTCCCCATGTATACTCTGAGCGGGGAACCTGTATCTGCTTAAAACTACTAAAGGAACTGATGTGCACTACAGCTAACCCTAATAAACCAGATGCTTTCGGAGTGCCCTGTGTCTGTCTGCCTGGCCTCTCATCCCACCTGACAACCCTCTTGCTAGGACCGCAGGCTGTGCTGGAAGTGGTGTGGAGTCACTCGCCAGGCAGCTGACATGAAACTCAGCAGTCCTTCCAGACTCACGTGGATGAGTGAATCTTACCTTCTGTCCATGCTTCAGGAGGCCTGGCTGGGGCACAGACTCATTCCTGCAGCCTCCCTCCTGCACTCGGAAGGACTCTAGCACTGTCAACAGCTCACTGCCTCCCTTGCTGTCCAATCAGGTGCCAGACATGGCCAAACCCCATCTTTACCCACGTTTGCTCCCCATGACTATGGTTAGTTCAGTCTCCTTGTTGCTGGTGTCTAAGTACCTCTCCTTGCTCCCTACATCCTCCTGACCTAGTATCTCTGCCCTCGAAGTATCTTCAAAGTCACACTGGCCCATTTGCCCCAGAACTGCCACCATAACTGCTGGGAAACAGCAGCCCCCTCAGGGATCCCTGCCAGGCCAGTTTCCACAGAGAGGCCAGGAGTGAAGCCTCCCTCAGCAGAGGCCTCCCATGGCTACATCTCATTAAAGGCCAAGTTCCCACTAAGGCCTGTAGCTCCTGAGCCGCCATCTCCATCACTGACAGCCCTCCTACACACATATACCTGTCTCTGCCTTCTCCCCTGGTTCCATGGGTCATGGCCTCTATTCTGCTTGTCCTCTGGCAGCCCTCTGTCCCTTCCATGGAATGTGAAGTGAAAAGGAAGTGTTCCTGCCATAGAACTGTCTGTTGCCCAGATGGTCCCCAGAAATGTCTGTGTTGTGGAGCTGTGTTGGGGAGGGAGGGATGAATAAATTAATGGAGCAGGGACAGAGACAGAATAAATGAATGAATAGTGGAAGAGAAAACTGGATGACAGTGAATGAGGGGGAATGAGTGAATGGAGGGAGGGAGAGATGGAAGGAAAGAGAATAAATGAATAGTGAGAGAGATGAGTGAGAATGAATGACGGAGGAATGAAGGACATATGGATGAATGGACAGAGAGACAGCGGGAAGGGAATAAATGAATGAATGGTGAGAGAAGGATGGGTGAGAACAAATGAGGGGGAAGGTGTGAGGGGTGGATGAGCCACTGTGAATGAGGGGGGAAGAAGGAATGAGGAAGGGGGTGTTACCTCAGAGGGGATAAGTGGCAGTTTATTCTGGAGCCAAATATGAATGATCACATCTTGAGAACACAGATTTGGGTTACCCCAAATTCCATGTTCCAATGTGGTAAGAGTTTTGTGAAGTTTTTATAGTAACAACAAAGTCATAAATCAAGACACTTTAAAGTCATTGATGAAAACATTAGGTAGGCGGGTTATAGCAAACAGGAAAATGCCTGCCACAGGCTCAGTTGCTGTCTGACAGTCTTAGTCTTTTTGGTTGGTGGGAGCTGGTGGTCTATTAACACATTTGAAAAGGTTTACCTGTTAGTCACAAGATGTTAGGTCAGACCCAGAGGTGGGCACAGAATGGTTATTTAGAGGGTTAAAGAGCCCAAGAAAAATTACAATTAGGCTCTGGACCTGCAACTTTCCTAACTCTCCACAATCATTGGAGTTCTTATCAGTTAATCAGCCCCGAAGAGGGTTCAGTGAAAGGTATGGAACTTTCCTCCCCAGGAGTGGAAATGAAGGAGTGGGTGGGGAAACACCTCCAGGGTATGTGCTGCTCAAACAATAGAGTAGAAATTAGAGGCCTGCTGATGCCTTTATCCCAGCACTTGGAGGCTGAGGCAGGCAGATCTCTGTAGTTTTAGGCCAGCTGTGGCTACAGGGGGAACAAGTCTCAAAAAGAAAAGAAGGAAAAAAAAAAAAAAAGAAATCACATCTAGTACTTCCTCTTACATTAGGACTTAACTATGGAGTGAACAGTTAGGGAAAGCTGAGAAAAGAGCCCTGGGACAGCCATAAGAGGAGGGTGGCTGGCTGTTCCCAAATGAACCTGTGGCATGGAGGCCTACATAGAGAGGACAGGGCAACAATGCAGGGTCCAGCCATGGCACTGTCTGACAAATCGGACAAAGCTGCTCAAGAGGTGGGTGACAGATATTCCAGGGCCCAGGAGAGAAGAGAATGCTCAGCCCTCTGAATGCTAAAGGGAAGGAGGCTGTCACGGCCCATGCTGTTTGCCACCCAGTTTCTGGGGTTCTGGTTCTACATCCTAGGGAGGCTGAATGACTGAGGACTTAGCACAGCTGCTTCCCACAAAGCCCCTTCATGACCCCAAGGGTGGTAGGTGGTGTTGCACCTTTTAGACATGTAAATAAACTGAGGCTCTGAGGGTGTAAGCAGGGCTATCTACCTATCTACAGCCAGGCCCTCAAAGGTGACCTCATGGAAACCTGCTGAGGCCTGAGGACCCCATTCTGGCCTCCAGACCAGGGCAGATGGCCGCTCCCCAGTGATAGAATGTATGAATTGCAGTAGAGCCACAAGCCTCATTTTGAAAGCAATACAACCATAAATCCCTTAAAGCAGCTAACTGGCCCTAAATTGCCAGCCTGGCCTTGCTCAAGCCTTATCTACTGATCACTCCCCAGACTGAGAGACCGTTTACAGAGCCAGCCTGTCTCCTTTAGTGCCATCAGATAACTCGTCTACTGCTGAGAAAATAATCTTAGGAAGAAGACCCTCAATTACCCCAAGGACACTGGAACCAAGCAAATTCCTGTAGATGCGTTCCACAGAGTTCCTATATAAGTCCAAACTGCTCCGCCCTTCATCGCAGACACCCTCATTCCTTGGAAGGGTTTATTAGCCCTTTGCTGGGTTCCCTGAATAAAGGAACACATTCCTTGCCTGTGGCAGGTCTGGCTCTGACTCTTATTTCTAAACTTTAACTCCTTCATTTTTTCTGATCTCCTAAATCTAACACCCAGGGGCCCAAGAAAGCCCACCTCAGATATTGCACCAGTGTGCCCACAAGCCCTGCAGGGGAGAGTGGTCTGCACAGCCAGTCAGCTTGATTCAGAGGCTCAGCCCTTCCTGACCAAGGAAACCAGCTGCCTTACCCAGACACAAAGGGCTTAAAACTGATCAGTACATAACGGAAGTGCTCAGAAGAGGCACGAAGCCCTGGGCTCCATTCCCAACAAACAAAACAACAGAGTAAAACAAACTGTAAAAGAAAGCCCGTGTTTTCTTCATTCTCAAACCACAATATAGAAACTAAACAGACGCCCCCCCCGCCCCGCGCCAAATCTTCAATCAAGTGCTTAGAAGTTACTTTTGCTAAAAAGCACCAACTCCTCTTGTGTTCACAAGATCACTAGAAGCAGGAAAACAGCCTGGCACCTCTGCCTGGGTTTGTATCTGTGTCACTCTGCACCCACCCAGGTGTGTTCATGCAAAGGACCGCCTAATCTATCTCAACCCCTTCAAAGCCAAAAGCACTGAGACAGTCATTGTTCTAAACCTACATTCACCTTGGATTTTAGGAACAGAGCCTTCCAGCATAGACTGCCTCCCAGAGCAGCCCACCCCCATGGCAGGACAGCTTACCCCCTAGGATAGGACAACCTCCCCTCCCCAGAACAGCCCACCCCCCAGGACAGGACAATTTCTCAGGACACACTACCCTCCAGATGAGAGCAGCTGTCCCCATGAGGACAGGGCGAGGCATATCCTATAGAACCATATTGGTCCCCTCAAGCGATGACACTGATGACAAAATCAGAACTGAGACCAACCTTAACCAGAACTGATTAACAGTGCTTATCTCTTGTTCGCTGCCCCAAGTTCTTCCTCTATTTAAACCTGGAGTTTATGGCTGTACCCCAAAGACAGATTTTGGATCACTCAACCCCCTTGTTTTGGTTAGTTGTTCTCAACACAAACTAGAGACACCTGGACAGAGATGCCTTCCATTGAGGAACTCGGGCATGTCCTGTGGGGCATTTTCTTGATTGGTAATTGATGTGGGAGGGTCCAGCCCACTATGGGTAGTGCCATCCCTGGGCAGGCAGATAGGCCTGGGCTGTATAAGGAAGGTAGCTGAGAACTAGGGAGATGGTGCAGCCATCAAAGGCTCAAGCTCACAACCAAAGGTAGCTAAGCAAGCCAGGGGAAGCAAGCCAGTATGCAGCGTTCCTCCACGGTCTCTGCTCCAGGGTCCTGCATTGTGCTCCTGTCTTGATTTCTCTTGATGATGAACTATAACCTGTAAGCCAAATAAACCCTTCCTTCCCCAAGTTGCTTTTGGTCCTGGTGTTTATCACAGCATCAGAAACCAAATAGAATACCCCCTTATCTGTTCTTCCTAATATGGCCATATTTATTAAATTCCTTTCTGCTGGGGCTGGAGAGATGGCTCAGCCATTAAGAGCACTGGCTGCTTTTGCAGAAGACACATATTCAGTTCCCAGCACCCAGTTCCATAACTGTTCATAACTCCAGTTCCAGGGTATTTGACACCATCTTCTGACCTCCACAGGAATTGCATGACATGGGTGCACTTACATTCAGGCAATACACTAATACACATAAAATAAATTCCTTTTTACTTTTCATCTTTATGGGACAGGTGGCTGAGCATAGCCTGTTGGGGTTGCTGGAGCCAGGACTCTGGCATTTAAAATTCTGGTTATAGCTGGGCATGGTGGTACACATCTTTAATCTCAGCACTAAGGAGGCAGAGGATGGTGGATTTCTGTGAGATGGAGGCCAGCCTGGTCTACATAGCACCAGGCCAGTTGAGGCTGTAAGGAGACACTGTCTTGAAAGAAAAATAAAAACAAAAAGGCTGGTTACACTCTTGCCTGGCAACTCTTCCTGTGTTCCTGGGCAGGCCCCACACATCACTGACCATCTCCATAGGACTGCCAGAGAAAGAGGCAGGAGGCAGGTAAGGGTCAGAGGACCCTGGCCAGCTGATATGTAACAACACTCGCAGGTCCTACTGCTGCTCAGGCTGCTGGGAGTTAAAACCCAGAGCAGTGAGCCTCCAGCCTAGAGCTATAGAGCCCTGGCTCTCAGGGCTTGAGCTGCAGTCTCGGGCACTCAAGAGTCACCAAAACGATGAGGCCGGGTGTCAGCACTCTTAGGCATCGCTTGATATTCTTAAAGCACCATTAAATTATCTTACATTTTTTTAAAAGTTTATTTTTATTTTATGTGTATGCAAGTGTACCACATGCATGCAATGCCTGCAGAGGCCAGAAGAGAGTGTCTGGGCCCTGATGGTAGGTACTGGGAACAGAACCTGTTCTACTACAAGATCAGCCAAGTGCTCTTAACTGCTGAGCCCTCTCCAGCCCCAAGCACCATTAAATTCTATTAGAACTGCTGCCCTGGGTAGAACTTCCTTGTCTTTACTGTAAACACCCTTCTTACTGTCCCTGGATGGTTAAAGCTGTGGAAAGCACATTGGGCAGGACTGCCTGGATGCCCATAGTCTTGAGCCAGGAGCTGCAGCCCACTGCCCTGCACACTTAGTGAGGACACAGTCACAGCTCACTCTCGGGGCTCCCAAAGGATGGCCATAATTGGTGTAAACACCTCTGCCACACTCATTTTCTGGGTACCTAAACAAGCTGTAGGTAGTACAGGCTGGGAGATGCTCCTGTGCTGCGCCATGTGTTGTGAGGATTATGAAACGGCAGAAGTGGTTCAGAGTGGCTGGGGTGAAAAAACGGCAGTCACCATCAACCACAGAAGCAGAGATACAGAGCTGGGCTCAAGAGAAGAGTGAGCCCCAGTCTCTAGAGTTCCAAGGAGTTGCCAAGCCTTAGCTCATGGCTGAAGGTCTCCAACTCTGGGCTTGAGCTGTTAACACTTGGCTGTGTGGCTAAATTTCCTGTTCAGGAGCTGAAGCACTGCCACAGATTATAGGGGCCTACTTCCTCCTGGGGCATTGGGCAGGCATTAAGGCACTGTTAATATCTCGGAGCATGGTGATGCATGCCTCTAATCCCAGCACTTGGGAGGTGGAGGAAGGAATATCACAAGTTCAGGGCCATTCTAGGGTACATAGCCAATTTGAAGTCAGCCTGGGCTACATGAGTCCCAGTCTCAAAAAGGAAACAAATCTGTTAAAAATTACAGCAGTAATAAGTTCTGAGGTTTTAATTAAAATCACTTCCCTCTTATGTTCATTTTCCTATAAATAAGCAAAGAACAAAGATACTGAGGGATGGTGGGGAAACAGTGTAACTCCTAAATTAACAGCCTGCTCAGAACTTGCTCTGGCTGCCCAGAGCAAAAGAACCATTGGATAACTGGTCTACCTTAAGCCACCATCAGGCATCTGAAGCATTCCATAAACACTGTAAGAAAACTATACAAGAAACCTGTCTAGCACATCTGAACGACCAAGTTTCTGAAGGCCTGGCTCCTGAAGTGGCAGCCTCAGCTTGTATGTACCAGACTTTTGCTGTCTCAAGGCTTGGTGAACTCTAAATAATCCTGCAAACATTTCCACCTAGGCAAGACAGGTGCTCATCACCTGGTGATGAGCAGAGGGACTGCTGTGATGGGTGCTGAGAGGCCAGGCTCTGATTGGACCAAACATCCCTTCTCAGGCTATAAAAGCAATGTGCTCAGGGGCCTGCTGCTACCCAGGCTGCTGGTGCAGCCCAAGTCCCCGTAAAAGGCCTCTCTAAAGTGGTCTTCCCTTGCCTGTGTTCAGCCGTATGGGCTGAGCTGACAACTCAGGGAGCTGCAGAGACAGCAGAAAGAAGGCACAGGCAGGAGAGGGGCAGCGACAGGTGAGTGACCAAAGAGTTACAGAAGGGGCACAGCTGCCGGCTGGGAGGCAGCTAGGTATGAAGAATTTGAATGGTTCAAGAGCAGCTGGAGCAGAAGTAGAAGAGTAGGATTAGAAGCCATGGAGACTGACGTTAGAAGGAGCCAGAGACGAGAAACTGTAGGCCCTAGTCACTGAGTTCCAGAGAGCTGTCTTCAGAGCCAAGTTTCAGATCTCCAGCCAAGAGCTGGTAACACTGGTTAAGGGCTAAGGAACCTCACTTCTCAGGCCTACATGAAAGCTGTAACACTAACTGCTGCCAAGGGCTGCGGAATCTAGATTTCCAAGGTGCACACAAGAGCTTTACTGTTATTGTAGGGCTATGGGTCCTGATGCTGGAGGCCTGTGGCACTAGAAGCAATGCATGCTGCTATTTGCTGCTGCCAAACATGGAGGGGAAAAGCTTCTCCTTACCTACGACTTCTATTTGGGTAGACTCACAGCCAAGGGGCCCCGTCCAGCTAAGGGGTCCAACACTTACAGGGGCCTGCTGCTACCCAGGCTGCTGGTGTCTAAAGCCCAGAGCAGTGAGCCTCTACCCTGAGCACCTCAAGCTGAGTTTCTGGCTTCTACACCCTGGAGCAACAGGGCCCTGGCTCTGCTCAAGGATTTGAGCTGCAGCCTCTGACTCTGCCAGTCCAGCTCCTGGGCCTCAGGCACTCAGGGGCTGCAACTTTAATGCTGGACAGCAACTCCTCACTCAGATTCCTGTTTATGCAGGCTGGCTGCGATGTTTCCTATTTTCAACACTCAGAACACTTTCTAAACTTAGGCCAAACATAGACTAAAATGAGGGCCTGGGCTTGTGCTGTGCTTAGGGAACACTGTCCCCAATCTGACCCAAAGTGTGGCCTCTTGACTAGTAATCTGACCACTGCATCTGCGAACCAGGAAAATATAGATTCCAAGGTACTTAAAACTCCTTTGCTAGTCTTACTAAAGTCTATTGAGAAGCGGAAACGTTTGATGATTTCAAATAACATCTATAAGAGGCAGACTTTGGGCTGGAGAGATGACTCAGAGGTTAAGAGCACTGGCTGCCCTTAAAGAGGACCTGGGTTCGATTCCCAGCACCCACATGGCACCTAACAACCATCTATAACTCCAGTTCCAAGGGATCCAACAACCTCTTCTGACCTCCGCAGGCACTGCACAACATGGGTGTACTTACATACATGAAGGCAATATAGTCATATACATAAAATAAAAATACTTTTTAAAAGAGGCAGACTTGATTTACTATTCAATCACACGTGGAAAGAAATGTGTGGTAATTTAAACATTTTCTTTACAGACATTACATAGCTTGGCACAACATCCAGGGTAAGGGTGACCTGAGGCGGGGCCTGTAGCCAGCCTGGGCCCCACCTTCCGTCCCTGTGGTTTCAAAATACATGTGTAAAGATGCAAGTCATCCTGTTACACCCCTCTCATGGCGTAGATCCAGCATCAGCTTCACAAACACCGTAGGCTCACTACAGGACAGGTATGCCAGATGTTGATAGTAAGCCTTCTCAGATGACTTAACACTCAGCCAGGAGAGTTCTTCAAATTCATCCTCCATTTAGGATCTTAGCCATGGCAAACCCAGGCCCAGGTAGTGATGGGTGGAAAGGCAGAGCCAGTGAGATCCCATGGCCCTTCTCAACCCCACCTCTGCCTGGGACAGCTCCAGGGCATCTGCCTCCCACTCCTACAGCAAGCACAATGTGCCTACAACTCTGACTACAGGCAACTTGTCCCAACGGGTTACTTAGGATCTTAGTTTCTTCCACATGACCAGCACACAAGGGCAACACAAATGAAAATGCACCAGTAAGGCAAAGGAAGAAAATCCAGAAAGTACTGGAAATTGACAGCACAGGGGCAGGGACAGCTGGACACTGGTAAAGGCTGCAGGGTGAAAGTGATGTCTTGGCCTTGGACTAAGGTGATGGTATATGGGAGGTGTCCACAGGCCTGAGGGCATCCAAGGAACTCACACCACATTCCTCTAACGTGGGAAAGACACACAGCCTTCCCTGGGGAAGACAGGGCCTGGGCTCTGGGGGAAATGGTTATTTTGGTCTGGACCCTCTCCTGGAATGAGGCCCACAACTGGGGGCAGGGGGTCAGTGGCAAAGAGAGAGCAGGCCTGAGGTGCAGGTATGCTGGCCCAGGGACCCTGCCTTCCAAGCTTCTGAATCACCATCCACGCAGTGAGAATGCCTAAACCCCAACCCTACAGCCCTGCCTCCCCTGCTCCTCACCAGCTCTACTCCCCAAAGCCTCCCCTCCCAAGCTGCACCCCAAATCAAACTCAGGCCCCCACAGTGAATTCAAGCTTTATTGCCACACACAGACTCCCCCAACTTCTTGTCCAGCCCTGTACATGGAAGTAGCCAAAGCAAGCCAGGGCTGAGCCAGGGCCAGGAGGGAGCAGGTAGGGCGCTGGGGGAGGGAGGAGGACTGAGCTCAAAGCCCACCACACCCCAGCTTTCCCTGAGTGGTGGGCCCCAGGTCTTGGGGCTGCCTTACACACTGGGGGAGGAGGCTTATTCCACAGACATCCTCCAAGGGCCTGAGGAGCCCAGAACTCCCTCTGCCACTGTAATGGCGCTGAGTGTGCAAGGGCAATAGATGCTGCATATGCACACTGCACACACTTGTTGCCTTGTAAGCCCTGGTTTCAGGCTTCCAGATGGTGGCAAAGGCTCAGCAGTCCAAGCCAATGGACACTAGCAGGTCCTCAAGAGCCTGCAGCCGCTGCTGTGCCTCTTCAATTGCACTGTAGGTCTGGACTGTGCTGGCCACATGGAAGCGGATGTCGTCTACCAGTGGGATGGAGTCTGTCTCCTGCCGGGCAGCCACAGCTGCTGCTTCCTCCCGCACTGCCTCCACAAAGTCCTCTCGCTCCACCAGCTGCAGAAGACCTGGCTCAGCACACGTTGCAGCCCACCCTCACCACCTCCCCCCTTGGCACCCTTGACCACCTTTTCGATGACCTTGGCCATGTACTCGGTGCACTGGTCCTCCAGCCGGGCCAGGCGGAACAGCTTGGCCACTCGCCAAACGCCCACCACGCTATCCTCCTCTAGCAGCTGAGCCAGGCTGCGGCCGCACAGCCTCTTCAGGCCGGGCAACAGGTACATGTCAGCCACACTCAGCACATCGTAGGCCATCTCAGGAGGCAGCTGTGGTATAAGAAGGGACAAAGGTGCACCAGTGGTCACCAACCACTTCCAGGACCCAACAAGGAAACCTCAGTGTGGGCAGCAGAGACTCACATCCCTGGAGCCTTGAGGCTGTAAAGGGCAGAAGAGACTGGGAAGGATGGCCTAGGGCAGACAGTGGATAGGACTACAGACAATGCCTTCCAGTAAAACGATCCTGGGCTCAGTCACAGGCCTGGGCTCTGTCACACCCAACTCTACTACACCAAGCAGTGGATCACAGGCAAGTCCCTTCACCTCTCTGTGCCTGATGTACAGGTTCTCATGCCTACTTTGAATGGCTGTTATGAAAGTGAGCTGGAGGCTGCTATTTCCAGTCCATAAGATCAGGTACGGCCCACTACAAGAGGCCACACAGATCTGAGCACAGAGACAGCTAGGTCCTGGCTGGGAGAGACCAAGGGTTCAGCCTCAGTCTGACCTTGGACAGCCCAGTGAGCAGGCAGAGGACAAAGAAAAGGGACTGAGCCACCACACTTCAGGCTGTGCAGCCATGCTTACTATGCATTGGATGCCCTGCCACCTACTTTACCTGTGGTCACACGGTCATGGGCATAGAAGGAAGCAATAAGTTTATACCCTGTCTTCTAAGGGGGAGTAAACTGAAACACAGAGAAGTTGTGTACCTTGCCCAAGGACACTAAGCTTGAGAGGCTAAGCTTGACTAGGTTCAGATGCTGATCCCTACTCTGAGCCATTAAGATGTTCTTAAGTCAGGCATGGGGGCACACACCTTTAATCCCAGTATTGGGAGGTAGAGGCGGGCATATCTATGTGAGATCAAGGCCAGCTTGGTCTACATAGTGAGTTCCCGGCCAGCTGTGGCTACAGGAAGACCTTACCGCAAAACAAACAAAAAACCAAGCCCAAACAAACACAAAAAAAAGCAAAAATAAATAAAGAGAAGATGCTCTTGGGGTGCATAGCTCCTTTAAGAGGGAGCTTATGACTCAGGATTTGAGAGGCAGAATCAGTCATACAGTGATTGCTGGCCAAGCTGTAGGCCAAAGAAAGTAAGGGAAATGGATGGGAGGGGGCCTGGGGTAAAGCCCAAGTATGCAGGCCACAGGCTGGTGGGAGTCAGAAGCCAGGGCTAGGGACAATAGGAGGTGGGCGGTACAGGTATACAACTTCCAGTGGTTCACAGAAAAGCATACATGTGGCCCCACCTCAGTCTGCAGAGGACAAGGACAAGGCAGGGTGGGGAGGCCATAGACTAAGGTCCACGGCTGCTGTTTCTGTGCAGAGCTCACACAATGGAGCACGGCCCGCCTTGTATCTCCCTCCATGTTAGCTCTGGTGGATACCATGTGACCCACTAGGCCTAGAATATTTACTTTCAGAGGAAAGGTCCCCCAGAGCAGCCCAGTAAGACACCTGGGTCCCTAGAAGCTACATGTCTATGCCAGACCCAGTGGAGAATGCACTTCCCCTCCTGTGTGCTGTCCTGTGCAGTGCTGTGTCCTCATACACACTGACAGAGGGAGCCCTCAGCACTGTCTGCTGCCACTAACAGGCCTGGGTCAGGAATACTAATGCAGCCAAGGACAGGGATGACTCAGGAACCTCAAGATCTGTGGCAACCCCAAGGCAAATGGCCAGGGACTCCAGGCCCACTGCTCTTCCACTAGCTGACGTACCTCGGTGTGGTCACTGTACACATAGTACAGCACATGGGTAAAGATGTCTGGGGAGATGCCATGCAGGGTGATAGCTGGTGGGTCCCCAGAGGCTGCAGGCTCCTCGCTCTCTCTAAAGTGGTCATCCAGCAGAGCCCGGAAGTAGTCACTGCGACCACAGAAGAAGGCCTAAGGGAGGCGAGTTCAGAAAATGCTGGGGCTGGGGTCTGCCCCCAGGAAGCTTAGGGTAGTAGGGACAGGAGGGGGACAGGCACCTTGTGGCAGAGGAAGTTGCAGCCAGCGACTCGGAAGCAGACATCAGGACAGCTATTGAAGCTATCGGGACATGGGAAGGGCAGTTCTCCTAAGTCACCCTGGTACAGGGAAGGCACCCATCAGAGTAAGCTGTTCATGAAAGGGAAGCAGCTGCCCAGGCTCACCTGAGGAGCAGAACCCACATCTGTGGGGCCTGCCCCTCACAGCCCTATCCCAAGACATCACAGCCCTATCCTCCTGCCTATCAGGGCTGCCTGCCCATCAGTTACCCGAAGCTCAGGTGGCAGGGCACAATCAGCCAGCAGCGCCATATCGTCCCGCAGCCGGGGGTCAGCCGGAGGGGACTCGATGGTCAGCACCTTCACACAAGTGCCAGGCTTGGAAGCCACTGGGAAGGGAACAGCAGTTTCAGGGAGCTGTGCCAGTGACACTGGCTCTAGCCCAAGGCCCCAGACTGAGACCCTGGACATACCAAATTCAGACACCTTCTCACATTTGGCCTCCAGGTCACTCAGCAGGTCCCACAGCTGGCATTGCTTGGCCAGGCGCTCACAGTCACTTACATGCTCCACACCAATGTCTAGGCGGCCTAGGGATGCAGGGGCATAGGGTCAGGATCTGAGGAGGGCTCCTGTTTGCTGTTTCCCCATCCAGAAGGACCCACAACCTGCTCAGTTTGCGAAAGGGACACGCTCTTCCCAAGCAGGCAAGCCAAGTTAGGAAGCAGCTGGTCTACCCCTCCCTGCAACCATGACTGGCTTAGAAGTGGGAAATCAGCTCAGGGCCACTCTGGGTGTGCTGCTGTCCCAGCCTAGGGGGTCAGTCACCTGTGTACAGGTACTGCAGCAGGGCCCCAAAAGCCACGGGGTTGATCTGCAGGAGAAAGTAGAAAGGAAAGTCAGAGGATGCCACCTAGCAGGAGCTAACTGCTCCCTCAGTGTCAGCAAACGCCCTCTGCCACCATGGTGGGACGCACCAGGGGGTGCCTGAGAACCACAACGCTCTTTCCCTTCCACTTGGTGTCCAGCAGGTTGGCGAAGTAGGCACTGCGAGCACCCAGGACACAGCGATGCGCCCGGAACGGCTTTCCATGGACCACGAAGACCACATCACTGTGGATGCCCTGTTCCAGAAGCCTGGGGATTGCCGGGAGAGAATGCTTGCCCATCACTCACTCAGGAAGCCCCAGGCAAGTGCAGGTACCAGGACCACTCAACACCACCCCCACACACACACCTGACCCCAGTGAGACAGAGTGCAGCAGCCCGCCCCCAGCTCACCGCTGAAGGAAGTCGTCATAGTAATCCCGCCTCCTGCAAGAGGCAGTGACTTGCTTGTAGTCCCTCAGGGCCCTGCGGATGGGGTCACTCAGGGCTCCATAGAGGCACCGTTCTCCATCAAATGTGTTGGCCTCACAGCGGGCTCCTGTAAGGCAGTGCTCACCAGTCAGGGCCAAGGGGGTGCCAAGGGAGAATCCAGAAAATACTGTAGCCTGTGCTTCTCTCTAGCTCTCATGTGTAGGGCCCAGAAGACCTGGAGGCCCAGACGTCCCAAGGTGGCCCTAGCAACCCTTGAGTCCTTGTGAAGGCCAAGGCCAGGCCACTCACTCTCTCTCTCTCTCTCTCTCTCTCTCTCTCTCTCTCTCTCTC